CTCTCTCTCTCTCTCTCTCTCTCTCTCTCTCTCTCTCTCTCTCTCTCACACACACACACACACACATTATAAAGTAGCTGCATGTATGGTATAAAGTAGCTGAATCTATGGTAGATAGGGACATTAAAAACATTAAGCATGGCAAAGCTCCACCCTTCTGCATTGTACTAGTGTTTGTTATATGTACAAAAAGTAAAGCTTGATTATATTGGCATATTGTTTATTCACACTGCAAACATTGCTGATGTGAAGCATGGAGCCTGATGAAATAATTGTGAAACAGCAGGGTACTCAATCAGACAGGCAACTCTTTCCTTCTCTTGTCTATTCTCTGCAGGCCCAGCAATATGAGAAAAGCAGTTATATATTCACGTCATATTCATTCCCTAATTCACAATGCCAGTAGTCCTCAACTTACAATCACAATTGAGCCCACAATTTATGTTGATAAGTGAGAAATTTGTTAAGTGAATTTTGCCCCATTTTACAACTTTTCTTGCCATATTTGTCAAGTGAATTACTGCAGTTGTTAAATTAGAATCCCAATTGTTAAGTGAAATTGGTTTTTCCATTGATTTGGCTTGTCAGAAGGTTGCAAAAGGAGAACCCATGACCCCAGGACACTGCAACCATCATAAACATGATTCAGTGGCCAAGCATCCAAATGTAAATAATATGACCATCAAGATGCTACAATAGTTATAAGTATGAAAAATGGTCATAAATCACTTTTTTCAGTGCCATTGTAACTTTGAACGGTCACTAAATGAACTGCTGTAAGTCGAGGATTACCTGTATAGTCATTTTCAAATAATTGATGTTTAAAACTGGGAGCATAGATTTGTATCTTTTCCACTAATGCACAGATTTTTAAGAATGAGGAAATGAAAGACAGTACTTATTTATTGTATATCCGTGCATTGCTCTAATAAGCTGCTGAAGCAAATTTTTGATATTTCGCCGGAGCCATTGATTTCTCTCCTTCAGATCGAATATTTCATCCATGAGTAGCAGCATTATTTTAAGAGGCACATTGTCTTCTACCTAATAAAATATAATGGAGTACTTATTGTTTAAAGTGAAAAAGATTACTTAGCTTAAACATTAAATTGCTAGTTTGTTAAAATGTTTATTAATACTAGAATTCTTGTGTTCAAACAGCTATACTGAATTAGATCCAGTAATATTTATTCTTGCAAATAGAAACGATCTCTACGTGATCTAGCAAATAATGACACAAAAAGGAGATAATTTTCCACATGTTTTCTTTCCAAAGATTCCTATGACACTGTAAGGCTACTGTTGTAGAATACTGTACTGGCAAAGGAAAGATAAATGATAGCTCTTATTTTCCTTTATCACTTTCATGCATAACTAGCTTTTTTCTATTTCTGCATGCAGAGGACCATTGGACAAGGCCTTAAAACCTGATTAATTAGAAGTACAAACCATTTTATTAGTATGTAGACTTCAGAGCCCCTTCCTTAGAATAAGCATCAGCACAGACCCACCTAGGAAAGGGGCTATCCATCAGTTGATCTAATCTAGGAAATTTAGATAAGGATGGAGCAACGTAAGATTCTGGTCTGCTTTCACATTCCTCTACTGGATGTTGTAACATTTCATTTTATGGCCATGGCCATGAATGTTTATTGTTTTTCAATAAAAGTTGTTATTCTTTTCTTTTTCAACAAACCATTTTGGCATACTGAATCCATAAACCCATACAGTGCTGGTGATGATAGCCTCACACTATTTGAGAGGATCATTAGTGCTATAAAGCAGATTTTGTGAAATGGAGTAGGACCATAAAGATTCAAAACATTTATAGGTAGAAAACTTTACTACAGTCTTTTACATTCAAAATGTTTTTAAGGATTCAAAATATATCAAAATATAATAACTAATATTTAACAGCTAAAAACTGAAAAAGGATCCCATCTGAGATAACTATAAAAACTTCATAATAATTCCTTTTATAGCATTACTTTTAAAATCTATTATGTTAACAATTTTACATTTAGTAACAGTTCACCTATATTTCTACCAGTATGTTCTCTGAAAAACTGATGAAATATAATATGTCTTGAAATATGTCTTGAATTCAAAATATGTCTTGAAATAAATGAGGGAGCATCTCATGGCTCTGCAATTATCTACTGGAATTTATTACTTTGCTTGTCACCTTTAAAGAGCACAGCACTGTGGCATATTGCAAATTGAATCTGCAATATAAAAATGTTTTAGAAATGTTAATTTCAGACACATTTTTGTTAGCATTCTGTTGCCCCTTTACACAAGAAGAGTTCTCCGCTCCTCTACTCATTCCAGAATACCTTATGCCACCAGACTTGAAATTCTAGACCTAGAAAACCTAGGACTATGCCACCTTCGGTCCGATCTAAATATAGTATATAAAATCATACATTGCAATGTCCTACCTGCAAATGAATACTTCAGCTTCAATCATAACAATACAGGAGCACACAATAGATACAAACTCAAGGTAAACTGCACCAAACTTGATTGCAGAACATACGACTTCAGCAACAGAGTGGTCAATGTTTGGAATACTCTACCTGACTCTGTGGTTTCTTCCCCAACCCACAAAAACTTTAACCTTAGACTGTCTACTATTGACCTCACCCCCTTCCTAAAAGGCCTGTAGGGGGCGTGCATAAGCGCACCAATCGTGCCTACCGTCCCTGTCCTATTGTTTCTTTTTATTTTTCTTATAAATATTCATCTCATGTATTCAAAACTATGTTTATTCTTATGCCTGTATCTTGTAAGCGATTGACAAATCAAATAAATAAATAAATAAAATAAAATATCATTTTTTACAAAAGCATTCTCTGAACCGTTGAAATGCACAATGGATTGTGAAATGCTATAATACAAATCCAATACAATAAGCATCCATCAATGTGACCAATATGGTATGCTATTATTCCATTACCATATATATCATTATAATATGGTATACCATATTATACCAATATACCATAAATTAGGGAATGAATATGCCAATGATTAGGTCAGAACAGAGAAAATTACAGAGTTCAAAATTAATTTAAACAAGGTATACAGATAAATCTATAATATTAAAAACAATAACATACAAGCACATAAACATATAAAGCTTCTGGGAAGAAGTAAGGCAATGTCACAGTCACAGTAAGTAAACAGAAATACCAATTGGAATGCTTTGATGTGGCAAGTAAAAAGTGTGAAGTATAGAACAGGTGCAGATATCTGAACCATGACAAATGTATCCATAATCACTGATAATCTTGTGGATTGTATTTTCAATAAGATAAATGTCTTCAGTTTATTTCATATATTTGGAATTTGGGAAAGTAGCTTGTCTTAGCTAAAGTATCATAGAAATGACAAAGAAATAATCAACTACTGATAGATTATAAATATCCTGAAAATGCTTCTTTTGTATAGTCATACAAGTGAACATCAAAAGAAATGCTCAATCAGTTCTGCATGCCTATCACAGAGGCCTAAACAAACTCTTATTTGAATCTTGCATGTTTTTGTGGATTTTACACCTGGCCCAAGGATCTGTTTTGTTTTAGGAAACACAACCAAACCACAGGAAGAAGAAGAATATTCAAAAGTTGTAAAAAGAATCACAGGCTACAAATTTAACCATTCCCCCATTGATTAAAAGGGGTTGTCATAAATTTCTACCTGCATGTCAAATAATTAGCTGATAAATTACTGGGACTTCCGGTTTGTCGGCTTCGCAAGCGGCAGGGATTCGCGATACTGCGCGATCCCTGCTGCGCTAGCCGTTTTTGGTGCTCCGATCCGGACGGGTTTGGAGCTAAGGCTGCCCTGCAGGGGTGGCTGAAGATAGGGGGGATCTGGAGAGGGGTTTGGGGGTGTTGCAGACCCCCTTCCCGGCTGGCAGAACCCCCTTTTCCCAAGACGGTGCAGCGGCGGTCTGCAATGGCCGCCACAAAGAAGCTGGCAGCCGGGTAAGAATGCGCAGGAGGAAGAGGAGAAAGCCTTTGAAAAGAGAAAGTTTTTCTTGGCTCCCAGGACTCTAAGACATATTTAACAAAATTCCTGGAAATTATGGCTTTTTGAATGATACCTTCCAGAAGAGAAAATAAGCGGCAATTTGGAGGTGCTGAAAGGAAAGTGTACTCTCCTTCCCTACGGAATTAACAAGTGGATATTAAGAAACCTATCTTTTTCAGGTAAAAACTGGCTTTAAGTGATAAGTGGGAAGGGAGAGGACTAAAAAAATATTTATATGTTAAGATTTTGTTGGAGGAGATGCCTTAAGGATTTGAAGACTGAAATATATTGCAATAAGGCTTTAAGATACAGATTTGGACTTTCTTTTTTTTTTGATTGATACTACCCCAGGAAGAGAAAGTGAGAACTTTGCCTTGGCTTGGATTGATTGATGACTTTGGGGACTGTTCTATTTTTTTTTTTAAATATCTTGGTTGTTGCAAGAAGAAAGAAGGGGGAAAAAAAAGAAAAGAAAAGATTTATAATGGCTTTTTCTGTTGAGGAACTGAGAAAAGAATATGAGCAAACAAAAAAAAAATGGCAAAGATGGTGTGAAAGAAGCCTTCCTTTTTTAGAAATGGCGCTTGCTAACTATCAACAAACATTACAACAGATGGAGACAGCAGAAGAAGAAGAAGGAGAGGAAGAAGCCATCTTTAATGAATTTCAGAATTTAACTAAGAAAGAAGGAAGAGGGAAAGGAAGGAAAATGAAGGACTTAAGATTTAAAAAAACATTTAAGAAAGGGAAAAATAAGGTGCAAAATCAATATAATGATAGTAAACAAAAGGAAAAAGGAACACAACAGAGAAGGGAAGCCAGTAAGGACGAGGCTAGAAGAAGGCGGGGTAGAAAGGTCTGGTGGGGGAAGAAAGGAAGGAAAAAGGTGGACAAAAGCCACAAAGTTTTGAAACTAGATGGGAAAAAAGGAATCTTTTTTAGGGACAAAGGGTAAAGTATAATTTCTTTTAAAAAGATTTTGCAAGGTACATAAGATGATATTGTAGCATTGTATTAGAAATAGAAAACTAAAATGGTTTAAGAGTTAATAAGAGATTAAAATGCTGAAATGTTTAGTAACGATTGATTTTAAAATTTAATAATATTAAAGGGAAGGTTTAGAATATTGAATTTTAATTAAAGAGTTTAATAAGATTATGGTATTGATGTTATTATAAAATTTTTACTGTAGCATTTGTTTTTGGAAAAGGCAATGGGAATGTTATAAGATTCAATATTTAGATCTACTGCTTAACTATGTATTTAATCATTTTGGATTTATTATTTTTTGTTTATTTTAGAAAAAAAAATTAGTAGATAGAATGTACCAAGCAGAATCGGATTGGGTATTGGGTGTTATTTTAAATGCTAATTTGATTAATTTAGGGGGGAGATAGAAAGGCATCATACTCTGATTAGTGATTTCAGGAGAAATTCTTTTTTTTTTATTATAAGGAACGAGACAAAGGGACAATAAAGAATGGACAAAAGATACAAATATAATGACTTAAATTAAGATGGATTAATTAAGATAGCATTAAGAAGAGTGAAATGTGTGGAGAAGCTAATATAGAAGACTTAGAATGGTAAATAAAATAAGTAATGACATGTAAGATGAGCATGAATATAATTGAAGTCCATGAAGAGAGAGATACCTGGGGCCAAGTTACTTTCCTAAAAGATTTTTTTTTATGTTTTGTGTGTTGTGTGTTTATGTTTCTGGGAGAATTAATAAAACCTTGCAGAAATATAGAATGAGAATAATGGTAACCAAGTCAGAAAGAAATAGATGAAATAATAATAATGAAATTGAATAAGAGTAAAGAGAAATAAAGAGAAACTGGATAAGAGGTATTTGTATGCTCATATGGAAATGGTTTAAAATAGAATTATATTGTATAAAATAAGGTTTTATTTGACTTGTTAAATTTATAATGGAAAAAGGTTTAAGTATGTAATGGTTAATGATGATTTGTTTGTTTTTAAAAATTAATAAAACTTGTTTTAAAAATAATAATAATTAGCTGATAAATTACTATAGCTGTCCAATTCAATCAAGGGACTCTGTATTAAGCATTCCATGAATAAATTATTCACAATATTATTTTTGACTTTATAAATATACAATAATTATTTGAAATTGAATATTCATTTTTATCAAAATTCTGAAATACAAAAAATTATTCTGCTGATATTTGTTTTCATATCTTATTATGTTTTGATCTAGGATATAATGTTCTTACATACAGGGCTTGACATTGTGAAGAAACTGTCTTGCTAAGATGGACTGCTTTGACAACTGAGTCCAATATAAGACATAGGGATTTGAAGTTAAAAAAAACATTGTTCATGCACAATAAGAATTTATAAAATAATTAGATACTAATGAAAGGTTGGATACATTTCAACAAATGAAAAGACAATACAACTTGCTATTTTGTAATTAATATTGATTTCTGCTGAAATTAATCAAACAATTAACTCACATTATCATCTAGGTGTGCTGAAACCCGACAGTGTTTAGGATCAACATATGTCTTCTGTATTAAAGGAGGCTCCTAAATATTTCAGACAGGGAAAAGAAGTTATAAAAGACAGAATAATTTACAAATACAGGGTAACAAAATATAATTTGAAATTGTATTTTATAACACTTATATATATGTTAAAAAGTCTTACTTATATGTAAGATATTTAAATTGAAGTTAAAAGAAGTCACAATTTGAAATATGCTGATTTTCTGTAGTCAGATAACCATCCACATTTTTATACTTAACATATAGCAGCATATAAACATACAAATATAATTTAATTTATCAAATACAATCTCATGTAGCATTCATGACATTATACAATATTTTTAGAATTTATAATTTATAAACAAAGTATAATGTAATATTGACATCAATTACATTATGTTTTCATTTTAGTGAAGTTTATCCCATAATAATTTGTACAGACCTGTATTTGTGAATTTATAAATCTTATCTTTACTCAATATGGCAAGAGAAAAATGAAAACATATTCAATTGCAATTAGCATCTCTCTTCCTTTTTAGTCATTTAAATTTATTTATTCAAATATTTAAATAATCTTTAAAAAGAAAGATGCATTCATATGTGCAGAGCAGAGGTAGGTTAGCAATGACAAGCCCAAATGGAATAAATAAGTATTTTATTCAGGGATAGGTAAACGATTGATGAAAGCAAGACTATTTAGAAAAATGAAACAAAAAAAAATTACTTCAGATGTGTCTCATCCAGCAATTGTAGTGTAGATTTGAACTGTGTATATCTAGTCTGTCAAAAATTAAGCCTAACCTATTTATTTCTACACTGAAGTGCACAATTCAGGCACTGAATACAGAGCATATCATTTTCTAAAAAGTACGAAATACTGCCAAGACAGATTAAATGGAAATATGTTACATCAGGAAAGGAGGTTTGAAATAAATCAAGGTGTCTTTTTAAATAGTAGTTTATTTAAAACAAAACAAAAAACAACTTATAACATGATTCCTATAAATCAGGGCTGTCAAACTCGTGGCCTATGGGCCAGATGCATCATGCCCACATCCGGTTTAGAAAGGAGAAAAAAGTCCTGATACATCATGTGACATCACCGTGATGATGCAAGTTTGACACCCCTGGTCTAAATAATCAAAGTCTCTCTAAAATTCATTTGTGGTATAAAATATACCTAAGCAAACATCTAAACTGAGTAACTATAAAATGCCAAACAAATTTAGAAATCATATTATAATAATTGTATATGTCTACATATATTTTTGCAGACACTTACACCCACATATTATATCTGTATCTATATGTAGCACAAAAATTTTGTTCTAATTTATATAAATGCTTATAAAATATTAAAAAGTTTCAACTTATCTCAGAAACTGTTATAACTAAGATTAAGACAAATGTAATTAGCAATGCTTATAATCTGGAAAGTATGAAAATTACTTATTTATTTATTTATTACATTTATTTCCTACCCAACTTGTATTGAAAGGAGATTTTTATACAAAAAACCCTGCTCCTATGTAGTTCACTAGTTGCTCAGATGGTAAGCATGTTGGTCCAAAGTAATAGATATTATTTAATTAATCTGTATGCTGTTGGTTCTCAATTGTACTGGAAGCTAGCAATGATCACCAAAAAAATATTTATCCTCAAAAATAACAAACTTACAAATGAAATAAACCATATAAGGAATCAAAATCATGTTCTAAAAAAGATATGTAATATGCCAAATTCCACACTTCAATACAAAATGCCCCATGCCAGGAATTAATCAGATTTAACTGGTTTTGGTTTAACTGCTCAGCTCAATCCAGAGTGGATATACAGACCAGTTTCCATGAGGAAAAAATCCAAATATAGGAACAGCCATGGAAAAATGCCCACTTTCAAGATTTTGTTAGATGGCTTTCTTATGTACACAGGACATGAAGAAGCTGACTCTATTTGACCTGATTGAATGGACAGATACATATAAGATATGGCATTCCTCAGATCCCTATGTCTATAGCTAAGTAGGGCCTTAACAACTAGACATCTAGAACCTGATTTGTATCAGAATCTGGCTTGGAACCATGAAGCTTCTGAAGCACTGGAGTTATCTATTGCCTGAGTAGTCACATTTTATATCAATGTAGGTGCTGAAAGCTTTTCAAGGGTAACCCCATTTAGACTGTACTAAAGTAATCCAAATGTAAAGCACAGGTGACTCACCTTCCATTTGGATTACTCTAATACAGTGTACATGGAGTTATTCTTGAAAAGCTTTCAGCGACTACATTTTCATAAAATGTGATTATTCAGGCAATAATAGATAACTCCAATAAGCAAGGGCTCCCACTTCAGGAATTGTTGAAATTGCTACACAAGATGTAATTGTATATGTGAGAAGAGAAAGGATGCTCTAATTTAATGTGGTCAAGTACTATAATCACTTCCTTATTCCATTGGACAGTTTTGACCAAACTGACTACCTCATCCTGAGGAAACTGTCAAAGTTCTTTATCCATTACAAACTGGGGGAGGACCAACATAATAGGTTCTTTTTTGTAATGGAAGAGGTCACATTGCAAATAGCAATCACATAGTGATCTGTCCATGAAAATGGGCTATGCTTGATTCCCTCCACTTCCAGATTGTATCTGTTCACTTAGCCTGGATCACTTAGATACATTGGACTCTCAATAAGTTGGTTAAGCCCATGGTTGCTAGACAGTTCAGGCTTCTCAGCTCTTCCAAAAGCCCTGCCCAGAAAAGGCAGTTTGAAATTCTCAATATCACTAGTTTGGGGTATTCCATTGCTTCCCCAGTAACTAGACTAAGCAGCTATGGCAGGCATGTCACTATGAAGCAAGGGGAATAGAATGCAAGCAATAAATCTAATTCCCCCTTCAGGTGTAACTGCATTAATAAGATTTCATACCGGTCATCTAAGAAGAGATGACTACTGATGCCAACTGTCTCACAAATGAAAATATGGATTTCACAATTACATAACAAATGGGAATGGTTTCCTTACAGGCAAATCAGGTATTCAAGGGCTGCAGCTAAAACCTGAGAATCTCTGAGAATCTGGTATCATGGTACTTGAGATGAAGAATGAGAGATGGATGGCAGAATTGACCAGAAATATACCTTATTATTATACCTACACTGCTAAAAATAATTATTTTCCTTCTATTTTATCCCTGCTTTCTTCTTTATTTTTTCTTAACCTGTGAACTCAGAGTGATTAAGTAGCTAATATAAGGCATAATTTTATTAATAAAATTCATTTTTCCAGATAATTTTCTCCTATTCAACCTTTTTTTACAACTTCAGTATTTTTTTTTAAAAAATGATGAGATTCTGAATGAAAGGCAGAGCATAACTAACTAACTTTGTAATTCATTTAAAGAAAAAAAGATAAGTTATTAGGAGTAGAAAACATAAATTTGGAATTTACTTGTGTTATTGAGGAATAATAACACAGATAAATTCTTAGTGTTTTTATTATTAATAAGGTACAATATTTAAAATAAACATATAATGTATGAACTCAAGTATCATACAGAACATCAGACAACTCAAAAAATAAGGTTCATATGGTAGACCATTATGTTCCTACAGCAGATTTCTTTTGAATTTCTTAATAGATTTCCCAGGTGCATCTTCTATTTTATAATAAATTCAAAAACTGTTTTAATCTTCAGGTCTGCTTCTTCTTGGGGTAATTTGTTATATTTTCAGTCTTCCAATAAAATATTTTACTAGTATTTTACCAATTATTAGCACATTCAACTTTTCACCTGCTCTGTTCTTATCTGTTTAACCGAAGTAACCCAAAACAGTACAAACTGTGTTGTCTTATTTAGTACATTCTTACCTTGAAAAATGATTGCTTTATATCTTGTCCAAATCTTTCTGATATTTTGCCCATGTTGTCTGACATTTTTGTCATCCCCTCTGTGAAGCTGTCAGGGATGGACTTGACAGCATTTGAAACATTTCTCATAGAGTTACGCAGTGGATTTACAAATGTGTCCACCTGAAGAGGAAAACATTTACCACGCTTGCAGAAATCTATGAGGACATGATTGCAGTCATCCAATAATGCATGTTGGAAAACATCACACTATTTTGGAGACTAGTAACACAAAATCATTAGTAAAATAATACATGGTATAAATATGGTATAAATATAAAGCATTCATATTCAATTATTTTGAATATAAAACATCCTAATCACATACTCGAAGTGAGCATTACTGCATCAGATACATTTCCTTCTTTGTTCTTTGTTCTATATTCAATTCTCAAATCTACATTCTGACAGCAAATTTCTTAGGGCAAAATGTGGGTTTTGCTATGCTACCAAGCAAAGTTTTCAACTGATGCCAAATAGTTGGAAGCCAATGAGTTATTTGCACCAACCATAGAAGCTCCATTTTTCTCTTTAGCAGAAACTTTCCACATCATAGCTCATAGCATCATAAACAGATGATTTTTTAAAAACCCAATAAAATAAAAGGGGTGTTCTGGAAAGTTGGCAGAAAATTAAAAGGAAAATTGTGAATCATAAAGGCTAATTAGCCTATTAGTTCTCATACAACAACTGGGATGAGGAAAATTTTAATGCAGACAAATGCTGTACTGTATGCATATTTTACATTTATATATTCATGCAAGAGGATATTCATATAGTAGTAAGTAATGGCAGATCTATATAGAGAACACTGGTAAGAAGGAAAGCAAAATATAATTTTAGAATTAATTCTCCATAGTTGCCATTGCCTATTTTATCTGTCATACAGGATGTCCATAAGATGATAATCATAAATAATACTACCATTTAGCAAATCTGTGCATTGACAAAATTTCCTTCTAGAATTACAAAAGGAACATTTGAATTGGATGCTTGGATTGGCATGTATTCTAAACTGCTTCTACATCCTAGGTTCTGGGGAAGAACTTTATGGATATGAAGGCTCATGTCTGTTAAAGAAGTGACAGCTGTGATTTCACATAATTGTGCATGTAACAGCAACATCTGCCTATTCTAGGTTCTTGGGAAGGACTCAATATGAGGATAAAAATGTGAAATCCATCTAAACATTGGGCTGACTATGCAATGAATCATTAAACCTTTATGCTGCCCAATTCTTAACAACTTGGACAACTCCTAACAATCAAATAAAGAAATTACAATAAAATAAATAAAAATTAAGAGATAGCAAATGTGATAAAGTTTAAAGCTTTCTCTCTTTCTGACTTCATGGATTTTCTAAACAACAGCTACCAGATGTCGGAAGCAGCCTTGGAGTCACCTTCCAAAGGGAAGGGATTGCTACAGAGGAGATGTGCTTCCAAGGTCTCGATAAATGACATTGTTTAATTAAAGGAAACCATAATGCACCAACCCTGAAAAATAGAATTGGCTGGACAGATGTTATTGGACGCAGGTGGTCTTTCAAGTAAGCATTCTATGCTATGTGTTATGACATCAGCTGAATTTTTCAGAATACTATTAAATCAGAATGCTAATGTTAGAATTATCTGATGTTTATAGTAAAGCATTATATGTATTATTCATTTATCTGCATGTATTCTGTTCAGTTCTGCATTTCATTTTCAAGTATCTAGAACCTACTGAGTCTCTTGATCTGTTCATTTATGAAATTACTTTGCCACTCTAAATATGGAAAAGAGTGGCCACATTTTCAAATGTACAATACATTAGTTATAGAAATCTAGACAACAGGCATAAGAGTTTCTAAACCATACAGCTTGGACAAGACATAGTATAGTAGTTAAGATAAATGCAAGCATGTTGTACACAGGTAGTCCTGACTTCCAATAGTTTGTTTGACAGCAGTTCAGAATCATAATTGCCTTGGAGAGGGTGGCCTATACAGTGCTTCTGGCCGTTGCAAAACTTTGCTCACATAGATATAGATAAAAGGAAGCTGAAATCCAAACAGAGGGTAGTCAGTGCAGTAAAGTAAGGAGCACAAATGTGCCTCAGGTGTGTTGGCAGGCTTGGAAGGCCTTAGGTGGGCCACATCCAAGAGACTACTTCTCTTCATTTGGGGACAGCTTGCATGTTGACAGCAAGCATTTTCAGCTAATGAGTGGAACCTTCCAGAGTATGCCCTGTCTGCAACTCCATCAACTTAACGAACTGCATAATTCCTTAATGACTACAATTGGGAATGCTGAGATTGTGGTTGTTAAGCAAAGAAATCACATGGGTAGTCACATGATATCTCACTTAATGATTGCTTAACTCAATGACAAAATTCCAGTCCCAATTGTGGTGACAAATTGAGGAGTACCTGTATGCAAGCACTTGAAAGAAAGAAATATAAGGTTTGAAAAATACAGTATAAAATACACATTAAAGCTAGCCAATTATAGTTTGGAAGAAGATTTAGATTTAGTTTTTCAAATGGAAATTTTCAAAAATTTTGTGGAGTATACCACTTTGTTTTCGATGAGTTGATTCATCATATGCTTCTTTTCCTGGGACAATTAAGCCAAGTCAACCCATGTAATTTAGTTCAATTCTTGCAGTGAGGTATAAGTAGGCTGCCAGTGACTGTCCAAAAACTACAATTGATTCAAATACATGAAGTGACTGTAAAATTAAAGGGAATACTGCCTCATAATTTAGGGAAATACAATGTCTATTTTTTAATCTCCAAAATTATTTTATGTGTCAACTTGAATTTATCCAACTGCAAGCAGCCAAGAAGTAGAACATTCAAAAGATAACTTTTTCTCATATGTGCTTCCGATATGGAAGCTTTGCTCTGAATGTTTCTACCTTTTTTGAATTAATTTAGGTAAAAAACAAGAAATAAAGAGATATTACAATTAGGGCACATAACTTTAGAAAAGCCTTCTATAAATCAGAAAGCAAATGATATGTTTTTTTCTTATTTGTGCAAAAATGTTGATGCTTAAAAAGTTACTGGTTTATTAAATTTTAGTGTCATTAAATGCCTTATAAGGTTAACTACTTTAAACATCATTTATATTAACACATATAATAAACTAACTGAAACACTGTATTTATGAAATTTGTGAAATGTCTGCAATGAATTTTTAAAAATATTACTTTTGTTACAATTTCAAGCAGAAGCTTTCCATTTTGGAAGACATAGGAAAATTTTGCAAGACATAGTCCTCAGCCTACTCTCAAAGGAATTATTGGTCTCTTCTTGTCCAACAAATAAAGCCAGTGAGTGATAACACAAAAACAATTTTATTGCTTAATTCCATAAAAGTTTTAAAAAGAACCAAACAACTCCATTTATTGGAAGCTACTGTTATTGAAATATTTTTTAGAATTGCTATTAATTAAATCTTCAATTAAATTTAAAATATTGCCTTTTATACATAATTTATTAAAAAGAATGGTCATGGCAAAAAAAGATACCCATGCAAAAAATCTGCAAAGGAATTTACTTTGCCCCAACTGTTGAAAAGGGCTGTATAAGAAAAAAAAGCTGTGCTTTGATTCTTTGATGTTACACAGCCTCAGAAAGCAAGTTCAGCAGGAGACATGCATTCTCTCTTTAGAGCAGACAAATGGAAACTATAAAGCAAGTGATGCCTGAAATGATCAGCAGATTTAAAGGTAGATCAAAGAATAGAAATCTTAAAATGTTTAAAAACACTACATTTTAGAATAAAGTTTAGAATAAACCACACCTTCTACATATTTCTTCAAAAGAAAATATTCTACTACAAAGATTCTATATTGAAAAATTGGTTCTCTGAGAATAACTCAACAGTTCTATTCCAAAATCTTATTTTCAGACTGTTTTTATACAAACTAACAAATTCATATATTAACTACATCATATTGATTAAAAGGCTGTATCATAGAGTTTTGATGAAATGAAAACAGACTAAATTATTTATTCTTCACAAAGTTCTGATCATATTATGTAATCATATAATATAATCTAAATTATATACATCTTACCTTCCGAGCAAAATCTCCTTTCTCTTTATTGTATGCCTTGTTTTCCAAGAAATCATATACATAGTGTGCTAAAGCTGGATAAGCTTTCATCACTTCGGGTGTTAACAATAGCTAGTAAGTAAAACATGCAAATTACATTTAGAAAGATAAATATTTTGGTCTGAAATTAAAACAAGGAAAATATACATTTATTTAAATCAATTTACAGTATCTATTTTGTATTGCCCAAAGTCCTACACAAGTGTAGTGAATTATTGAATTATTGTTGAACAATTTTACTCATCCCACTCAGCTTTCCATTGCCAAAGACGCACACTCCACACTAATTTTAAGAACAATTAGCTCTGTGTGGTAAGTGTAGCTTGATTCCATCTGGAAGTGAACTCATTTAATATGCCAGTCTTCAAACAGCCAAACAGGTGGTCTTTACCAATGATGTGGTAACAGGAACTCCACTGCTAAGTAACATGAGTGAAGATACAACATCATATCACCACACAAACAATGACAGTTCTGGCAGTCCCAATTGCTGCTATTAGGCAAGTTCCAGGCAGTTATAGCATTTTCATGATCAAGTGATCACTACTTGTGATCCCCAGCCATCTTCCCTTATTGACTTTGTTGGAAGCTGGCAGTTAAAGTGTCAAATGGCAGTCATATGACCAAGGGATACTGCTATATTATAGCTGTGACTTGGTTGCAGGGCACCCAAATTGTGATCATGTGATTATTGGGAACATTGCAATAAGAAAGGAAGAAGATGAACAGCTGACAGGGAGCAGGAGTGTAGCTCCGTTGGCTGTGGAGGAAACTGGAGAAGAGCAAAGTCCAGCTAGGCAGAGAAGGTGAGAGGTAGAACAAGGGAGAGGCAGTGCAGAGGAAGACCCAGGCCCACCCCCCTTCATCCTAGGGCATGCAGGGAAGAATGGAGAAGAGAGGAATGTGGGTTATGTGGCTTACGGGGAAGGAAAGGGCCCCGATTCCCTTCATTAGGCACACCTGGGAAGAGAGTTGCAAGCTGAGAGCGGTTTTTTCTGGGACTAAACGTGAGTTTATCTTGTGTTGATTGTGGTTATCTGAGTTCCTGGCATTCCTTCCAACTGGGTTGATTTACTGCCCTTCCTTCACTTCTAAAATTCCTTATCTTGCCCTATCGGATTAATTAGCTCATCTTGCCTTGATTGGACTTATAGTTAAAGTTTCTATTGATAACATTTTGGACTTGAATCTCTGCAGCCAAAGGCTGTTCCTGGGAGAGTTTTTCTCCAGACCAGAAGGTAACTAGGACATTGGGGGCAAAGTTGGAGCTAATAAAGGGACTCCTATTGATTGTCTGACTGTGTTGCCTTTGTGCCACACCTCGGGTCATTACAGGCCTCAACCATAAGGGCGTATTGCAAATACCCTTTGTTCAGTGCTACCATAACTTCAGTTATTAATGAATGGACATTAAATGAGGCCTGAAGTATTTTTAAAATATTAAATAGGGTACATAATTATATTTATGTAATACCAAAGCATTTTAAATATTATATAGGGTACATAATTATATTTATGTAATACCCAAAGCATGCTATCCTAAATTACCTATACAGTTAACTGCATTTTCCTATAAGTCAAATGGAGTTGGGAAATTTAAAAAAATTCACTCATCTTTAATTAAGAATCTGAATATGAGAACATACCTGTAAGTATGAATTTAAATCTTTCTTCCTTTTTTCTAAAAAATCTCTATCCATATTGTTGAATGTTTTTTTACCAGGAAGCTTCAATAAATTTCCTAAGTTTTCAAACTAAAAAAATAGATGTGGCAGTTCATTCTAAATACACACACATGTTGTAGCATTTCAGCAAAAGAGAGTATTACTAATCAATTTCAGAAAGACATCACCACACAGAATTGCTCAGAGCTAGGTGGCATTTACATTTAATAAATAAGCAAATGTCATAACCAATATAGATTCCACACTGCTACTTTCTTCACCATGATTAAAGTACTTGTCTACTCAGCTAGAAAGTCTTCCTCCAATCTCTTAGACTGCTTTCCTTGTTTACTAGAATTAACTTTGATAAAACATTATATTTACATTGATGGCTAGTTATACCTGGAATTTATAATCACCAGTTTCTGGACTCGACCTCTCTAGATTGAAGGCACAGATTTGAGTAACAACGCATCAGTATAAATTTTCTCAGTATCTAAATTAGCTATCAAAAGAAGAGATGTTTGCCCAGTCTCTTTTTTTCATATATGCTAACAAGATTTTCTACATGTAGGAACATTTAGTTGTGTCAACCTTCAAAATTGTGTCAATATTCCTTTCTAGAGTAACGTAATTAAGAAATATTGTTTGTAATATATATATATATATATCTGCAAGAAGTGAATGTACATGGGTTATAAAAGATTAAAAAAATAATAACATAGTTGAATTTGGAATCAGAAAGTCTGGTATGCAAATTTGATCAGGTTCCAATTAGTTTCAGTTAGTTTCAGTTTCAATGTGTAATCAGGATACTGTCAAATGGTTTTAAGAATAAAATAAATCAAAATCAGTCGATTTCAAGCAAGTAAAATGAAATTTATCCTTTGCTAATTTCAATTAATCAATATTTTTCTCAAAAAGTAAACAAACCAAGATAATTTCAAATTACCTGTTCAGTAATTCTCATATGGAAGTCATGGAAATCACTGTAGCGGCGATATGTTTTCCATTCATCATTAGCAGTCGCAGTTCGACGTTGAACAGTTATAGTATATAATGCATATGTCCTCCCATGGTCATTACAAACCCCTGCCATAGTATATGGGTCATAATCAGCATAGACTATCAATTAAAACAAACAATAATGGATAGGCGAAAAGAAAGACAGAATAGTGGAAGAGAGATGAAATGAAAAGCTGTTGAAAATGAGAGAAGTCAAATCAATATGGACATGCAAGCTGCATGAAATTCTTCTTTACTGTTACTCTATTTTTTTTCCTATTTATCTCAAAAGGAAATGATGTGATGGGTATTATATGTATATACATACATATTATTTACTGTTACAAGAAAAAGCTTAAATAAATTTCTGGAACTTAACTTTCCTTCCTCATCTCAGAGATGCAAGGAAAATAGAAATTACTTTTTTATTCAAATTAATTAAACTTTCATGTTACACTTCATCTATATAAGATAAGTGTTAATCAAGCTGAATTAATGATATTTATATAATTTGTTGTAATGGAAGCTCAACTTTTTCTAGCCATATTTAATAATCTCTTGCACAAAATTACTATCTAGTCAAGTTGGAAACCTTCAGTAGGTTGACTCAAAGATGCTTTCAAAAAGCAACTGGACTTTTTTTCCCTTAAAGATGTTTCACTTCTCATCCAAGAAGCTTTTTCAGTTCTGACTTAATGGTGGAGGATGAAAGATTTAAATTCCTTGCAATCATTTGGTTGTTAGCACTTTTTGAGAGTCATCCAAGGTTTAACCCTCAGGGTCACCTGATTAGTGCAAATGGGTGTGGAACCTTCTTGGAAGTGTTGAAAGGACTGTGTTGTAAACAGGGATGGTGATGTCTGTTCCTACCTCTTGGTTAAGAGAAGTCTGTTCAATCTTAATGTAGATGGCTTCTTTGATCCCTCTTTCAAACCAGAATGTGGACAGAAAGGACTGCTGGTTTGAAAGAGGGATCAAAGAAGCCATCTACATTAAGACTGACAGAGGGGGAGATATATGACACCACCTATGTCCTGTATTTAATGGTGCAAGGCAAAACTTATTATCTTTGGGGACTTGCCAGGGCAGGATGGGGGAAGGAATAGATATATATGTGCAGTGTTTTTGCAAAGTTAAGCATTTAACAGAAGAATTCTACAGTCATTCATAAGGACAAATGACTGGGTGATTTCTATAGAATTCATAATTTTGAAACAGAGCTGCATATAGTTTCTAGAAGGTAGATTGAAATGAATGATCTGGCGTACCTCAAAGACTACCAATACTGTATTGAAAGGTGATATGTATCAGATGTTAGCAGAATCCATAATTTGGGACAACAATGCATATTGTTGTATGCATTGTTGTATTTTTAGCATATTCCAATACAATTGGTATTAATTCTTTATTTGATTTTATAGAATGATTGATTGAAGGAAAGAAAAAAATACCACAGGTAAAAAAATAGGTTCAGAGAATGAAAGAATCACAGATATGAAATTGAACTCTCTAATGATACATGGAAAAGGATAAGAAGACAGGAATTTTTATTAGATGTAAATGGAAAATTAATCTTAAATATATAAATAAATCTTTTATTAGCTAACGTAAGTCTTCTGGGATTTTCTGCATAATAATATCAAGAAAACAATGATAATAGATAAAAATTATATTAAACAAATAGTTAATTCTAAGATTAATCAGTTACAGTTACTTTACCTTTTCATAAAAAGATAAATTCCCATACTAAACTCACCAGTATCTGAAATGCATGCATGTAGTTGTATCGACTCATCAGCAGAGACATTGGAAAGATCATCCAGTGACTAGTGGGTGAAGGGAAAGCCAATTATTATTTATATTCCAGAAATATTATTGCACAAAGCTGTTTTTTCAATGCAGTCTTCTAACTTTGGAATTTCATCCGAATTAGGTATACCTAGTACTATCATTTCTGTTTTCTGATATTTAACAGAGACATTTTTATTCTTTCAGGATTTCTGAGAATTTGTTAATGTTGTTGTGAGTTTTACCTTTTTTTACAGATGCTTTTTAATATTCTGATACTATTAGTTTTTTAAATATTGCAATGTATATTTTGTTCTTTTGCCTTTAACTGCACATTTTTCTGTAACTAGCTACTTAACTGCTTAACTACTTTTAAAATAAAATAATCTCAAAAACAAAACTATATATTCTTAACTATTATTTGCTCACCATTTCTTTTACCAATGTCATAATGAAAACCATTAAAGCTTAAAATTCTAATTAAAATATATTACCTGCCACCTTTTTGTGCAAACAGAGCAAAAGTGCTTACTATTTACCTATTTAAGATTCAGAGATTTTTTTAAAAAAACAACACAGAATAGATAAATGGAAAGTAATTCTTTTACTGATAACCACTCTTTCTGGTATATGAAGATCGGGATGACCAAACAGATCAAATCAAACTTGGCCCCTTTTCTCACTTATTTATATACACATACTTTCACTTCTTTAAACAAACATCAATATAATATATTAGCTTTTTAAAAATTATAAAATTTTCTTTATAGTGTCATTTTTGCTTTGGTTGCTCTTATCTTAAATAAACAAGTAATTATTTTGAACTTCTATAATGTTGAAAAACACACCTACCAAATTAATGCTGCCTGTAGGAGATCCATTAAATGATTCTGTGTAAAGAGAATGTTTTTAATAAAAAGCCATACAATGGAAATACACATTAAAGCTATAAGTTAGAATTATGTACACACATAAAATATATGGATTCAGGATGAAAAAATGATAGTTAAAATATTAACTAGTTAATCACCATGTTTTTTCCACCTTAAATCCATTTAATTTGTTGCCAGTTAAGTAATGAGAGTAATGATAAGTAATGATAAGAAATGGAAAGCTTGAACTGAGAATGAATTTTAGGACACTGCCTAGATATGAAGTATTATAACACCTCAATTATGATATTGCTTTTAATCACACTTTATTCTCCTGTTTTTTAGAATTGAAGGTATTATGATTGCTCCCTGCTGTGTTTAAAAATATAAACAGCTATATACAAATTTCTCTATAATGGATAATATTACTATTTAACACACTAGGATCTAAACATTATTACAACTTAAGATCATTATAAAAAAAAGAAAAAGCCAAGGTATTACAATTCTGTAGTCACAATAATATTACAAAATTTAAAAAGAAATAGTGAAATTTCCATCCATTATTTTAAATAAGTTGGAACAAATTAAATTAATTACTAGCAGGGAATCTTAGCTCTGCTGACTGCTAAAACTTAAATAAAAATTTATGCTATTGTCAACATAGGCCACTAGGAGGTAGCCAAGCATATATACAAGTACATTTACTTCTAAAGAGACAACAGTGTTATACATTAAGAGTTTCTACATAAACTTAAAGAGGACATATTTAATTTTACTCCTAAACATTATTCTTAAAGAAGGAACATGTTTTTCAGATTCTTGTATAAGTATGAAAATAATCATATTCCTTTAATGATTAGGAAATTCACACCTATGGGGTATGAATCACTCTTTCAGAATCAAAGCATGCACACTACCTGTTACTGTGGAAATTTGCAATAGAACAGCAACAAAACAGCCAAATTATGCCAAAAAATGGAATAGTCCAAATTCTTATACATAGAGGTATACAGACTTTCCCTAAATCATTTTTAGTGCATCTACATAAGCCTCTTTGCAAAAAAATGAGTTAAATACTATCTGATAAGAAAAAATTATTTCCTACCTACTTACTGGTATATATATTTATACTTACAGGTATAAGCCTACTGCATGTGATCAACTTACCCCCTTCACCATCATCTGATCCTCTGAAACTAGGATCCTTTAGCATATCTAGCTCAGCAAGCATTCGTACATAAAGTGTATGTTGTTTGAATGAAGGATAGAATCTTTCGTCTTGCAACATCAATTCATATACCTTAATGAAATTAAAGCTTTAATATTATGCAAAATAGGTAATCTAAATAATAAAGCATCTTGTTTTATAAAGGTGCATGTAAATAATGCAATAAGTATTTGCATTATTCTTCTACATTTCAGTCTAGAAATCAACAAAAAGTCATAAATATTAACAGATATACAGTCAGATTAGTAAATAAGAATAAAACAGTTCACCTTTCTTTGAATCTGATCAAAAATTTCAGGAGTTGGGTCCTCATTGTTCAACTTTTCTCCCAGCTTCGCTACTAATGGATCATCAATATTAATTCTTGGAGAAGCCTGCCATAGAGAATTAAATAATTTTAGTTTTTATTTTAATTCATTTATTTGTAAAAATTAAAATTAGTGATTATTATTAAAGATAAAATAAAGCTAGAGAACTACAAAAACTGTATCATTTATTTTAATAAAAGCAAAGAATCAAGTAGTTCAATTTATTCATAAAAATTATATTATTTCATTTTGAGTTATTGGAAAGAATACTTACAAGTCACAAATTGAAATAATTACATGGGGATGGGATGAGGAGAAGTAAAAAGATAGTTTAAACACCTACAACTTTACACTTAAGATTTAGAATTCTCTGACTGAATTTTTAAATATACAATGAAAACAAATATAAAGGCAATCTGAATTCTAAAAATAGAAATAACCACTTATTTGTATGGCATTCAGCTTTGTTCGGGTATTTTCCCACGTCATAGTAGTTGTGCTTTTAAAGTTGTAGCAACGTTTCAGCAGAATCTCATCTGCCATCATCAGGCTTCTGTATTGTGTTCGTCTGTGAGTCAGACTTTTACAGTTGTTTCAGTTTTAAATTTGGGGCTAGCCTACTGCTGTGCCAGAATGGTTTTTTCTTCATCCTGATTGGTTGGGAGTCTTGGTCTGTGTTTATTGGTCTTG